AAAAAAAAAAAAAAAACAGTTAGAACATTTCTTTAAAGTGGTAGAAAACACAGAATTCTTTACATCCATGTAAAATTTTAGTGGATGGAGGCAAAATATGGGAGTAGCTCAAACACACAGGAAGAATGTATTAAATGGGTTTTAAAAATGCAAGAAAGTTTATTGTTTATAAATATTAAATTTATCAAATTATATCCTAAGACTCTTATTTTATTCTTTTGGAAACTTATACTAAGAGGAGAAAGAACAAATTTGTGGAAGGTATCTGAAGTATGTGACAACTATACCAGATGAATTTATTTTCAAAGAAATTGTGAACACATACATAGACAAATGGCAAATGGAAAATGCAACACTTCTCCACAGGTACAGCCCATAAATTGATCAATTTATACAAAGATACCTATAGAACATGTTAGCTACTTTCCTGTAGAGTTCCCAGCTAAATAAATGAAATCCTCAGGAGTAGTTTGTGTTATAGAAGTTGTTTGTTTGTCTGTTCATTTGTTTTGAATAACTGTATTAGTAAATAGCTAATTTTGGAATAGGCAGCATATTTTGGTTTTTGCTTGGCAATCTTTCTTTTTCTGCCTTAGCATACTCAGTTACCACCAGCAAACTCAAATCTAAAGAAGCACTTTGGGTGCTGTTGTTAAAGTGCACTCATGTACTTGGTGCTCCACGGCCAGGATAAAATGTGTCCATCATGGAGGGGAAAACAGATAATCTGAACTACAGTGGGGCCACCATGGTGCTGTGTAGTTGACAGAGCTGTGAGGACACACAGTCCACAGCAATTCTGCTTTTTTTTCTGTATGTTAAGGAAGGGTCTACAACGTGTTCAGAGTCTCACTACTAGATTGGACTTATAGTGATTTTCCTGTTTACAGCCTTCCAAGAGCTGGGATTATGGGTGAGTACCATCATGCCCAGTCTCAATCACCACCTCAGGGCACCTTGGAGGCAAAGCCAGCACAGCAGGCCCAGGGATTGAACCCCTGACCCCTGTGCCTATTTGCAGGCACTTTAATCTGCTGAACTATTTGATCTGCCCTATATAGAACACTTCATGAATTTCCATGTCATTCTTGTGCAGGTGCCATGGTAATCTTCTCTATATTGTTCCAATTTTAGTATATGTGCTACCAGAGTGAGCACAGTCCTGCTTTAAATCAAGAAAAACATACATGAGACAATGTGTTGGCTGTCCAAACACCAAGGGATTCTACTTCCCATTTCTGGTTTCTTGGTAGTGTTTTTCCACAAGAATGTTCCAGGCAGTGAGGACTCAGAACATAGGAGAACATATACTGTAACATCATTTAACTCAGTTGTGTTCCAAATTTGCTGATCAAGGAAATTATGGGGCCACAGAGGAATGTGATCGATGATGTAGTGTGTACCTAAAGAGAGTCACATGGAGAGAAAACATTATCTCAGGCTTTCACAGAGAGAAAATTGGTCAAGCAATGGCCATGACTCATCCACATGGCTGAAACTGACAAAGGATCTACAAAGTGCAGTACAGGGTTTTGGAATAAGTCCTGAGGGGACTAGACTGACCTTGTCAGATACAAAAGTTACATTTCTTGATAGATAGGTCTTGCTTTATCTTGGTCTTATCCATCCAGCAGAAAAGTGTAGAAATGAGGTATGAAAAGTAGAGGCATGCTAATATGAAGAGCTGTGGAAGGCTAAAGTCAACAGATTCGAACATTGCCAGTCCTGTGGATAACCCACTACTATTGTGGACTACTGGACTATATTGCAATATTTTGCTGAATTCATGCACCTACAATAGTTGGATGGTGATGGAATACCCATCTCTGACAAAACTGAACATAAAATGGAGATATAAATGAAGGACAATTTTGTATCTGTATATACAAAGTTGTTAGGATAGATATATAGCCACTTTCTTTTAATTCAATAAGAAGAAAGATTTGTACTAACAGTGTTTGGACAGGATATCATATCAGCATCTTGAGCTATGAGTGACTACTATAAAGACAACAATATGCAATGTACTAATTATTGTAATTCTCCTACAAACCTGTTTTGAAACTGTCTCATTGCAATATTTTCTCAATAAAATTAATAAAAAAAAGAATGTTCCAGGTTTCCTTCTTTTTAGGACAGTTCTTCAGTCCTGCTTTGCTTATGGTTATGCTGTGATTGTCAGTTCACTCAAATTCCTTGGTCCTATAAACTAATTATGAACAGGAAATCCACCTTTTCTTGTTGACTCCTTCTCAGTCATCGTGACAAACACACATCTTCATCATTGTAAAAGGCCCCTAGAAAGAAACTCTGAAGGTAGATTGAGAAGCCCATGGCTTATGACACTCTTAACCTGACTCTGCCCCTCCTCATCCCACTTCTCTTACCTCTTTTTTCAAAGGTCATGATATCTCTGTAACTTCCTATAACCAGTGTACTTTTAAAAATGTGGCTTTACCTGGCATTCAGCTTCCATCCACCTACTTTATTTTTCACTACAGCCTTTAGTACTGTATGTTAGGTAATTTTGTTTGTTTTCTGTTCCCATTCACCATATAGATGTTTAACAAATATTTGTTGAATTAAAAAGTGATATGGACCAAATTGAATCAGGTTCCTTTCTATCTCCTTTTGTTTTCTGTATTTAGATATATACCAGGATATCATACTAGGATAACATCCAAAAAAGACACATTTTGCAAATCATCTCACAGGATCACTAACCTTAGTTGCCAAGTGCTGATAAGCTTGGGCTCTGAGGCAGATTACTATCTAGTCTTCTTTTCCCTTTTCTCCTGCTTCATCTCAAGGGGATCAAATATTTAGCAGAGTGTGGAGATGAAAATGATTCACTGGAAAACACAGGAAACAATTGTGCACTCAAATTAAGACAATTTATAGAATTTAACAAAGGAATTGCTGTTAGAGCTCAGTCTGAAAAGCCAGGAAGGGAGAGGTTACTAGGACTCCAAAGGAGAGCAGAAGAAGAAGGTTGAGCAGAGCTGAAATTTTAGTTGGAGAAAATGCTGCCAGATATGATTCTGTAAGGACAGAGCTAGGGGGAGAAGTCCACCATCTTGACTTCCTTGTTCTCCTGCTTGAGTTGCCATCAACTATGGCAAAAGGAGTCAGCAGCATCAAGCACCCACCTGTGTGCATCACAGACAGACAAGGGGCAGAAAGTGGGGAATTATGTTATACTGGAGAAGAGAGCACAATGTTAGAAGAAACAGGCCTTAACCAAACCTCCAGCTAAATTCATGGACTTTATAAAGAGCCTCAATATGGAACTAGGGAGACAGCTCAGTAGAATAAGCACTTGCCCGGCAAAGCAAAGACCTGAGTTCAATCTCTGGTTCTGAAAAAAAAAACCCACAAAAAAAAACAAAGAAAAAAGCCTCAATATCCACCTAGAATCCAAAAGAAAAGATGGTTTACAGTATAGCTTCTTCAAGACTGATTTGTGCTTTCCAGTTTCTAGACAGGCTCTTTTCCAATGAATTGCACAGTGCTGTCTTTTGAGGTAAAGGTATCATACCATGTTTCCATACATATGAACAAGAGGATTGTGAGGTATTTTTCTAGTCATGTATATATTGGTTATTAGGAGTCTTCATTTTTGATGGAGTGAAGAGAGTTGGTGCAGGAAATAGTTTTTTCTCCATTAAGAATGGACTAAATTAGAATCTACTTTTAATAGAGGTATGAGTATGACATAGAATCATTAATAGCATACAGATTCCTAAAAAAAGGGATTTCTAAAGAATCAAACATTTCTAGCAATATGAGGAGTAGGGTATAAATTCTATAGGAAACAATTACATGATTCGGCTTTTAAGCTACTTCCTCATTTTTTCCAGGAGCTCTTACCATAGGAAGGCCTTAGAGTTTTGGGTAGGGTATGGTGGCACATGCCTGTAATACAAGTGTTTTGGGAAATTGAGGCAAGAGCATCAGAAGTTCAAGGTCAACCTGGGCAACATGCAAAATAGGGAGACTCTGATGCAATATAAAAATAAATAAATAAATAAATACATACATACATAAATAAATAAAAGTGCTGGGGATGTAGTACAAAGGCCCTGGCTTGAATTTCAGTACCACAATAAATAAACAAACAAACCCTCAAATACAACACAAATAAGACTTTGGGGTAAAAACACGCTTAACTATTCCTTGACACACATGCTCCAGGATTCCTCCATCCCTCTTGCCAGAGAGGACTCCAGCTTTGCAGCCTGATTATAGGTCTATATCTTTCCACAGGTGAGATCTGCATCTCATCAGCCTCCATTATAAAGCAGGCAGAAAGAAGGTGCTGTATTAGGTTATGGGTCACACTATGCAGCCACAGAAGTCACCATTCCTACATTCTGTGTTTGTGACTTCTATTCACCTCCCAAATTCTGCCTTTACTTTTCCACCCACCCCTTGCAGAGCCACCATGTCCCCTGTGCTCCTTCCCATCCTCTGTCATTGACTTCTGACGTTTATGACTTGTGGATCATTCTGTCTAGCAGCCTAATCTTTGGAAGCATGTCCCAGGTGATGGACTAGAAAAAGAAAGAAAGGGACTGGAGAAAAGGCTGACTGTCACCTGGATAAAATGCAACTTGTGATTTGCAGTTAAGAAAATCTAAGGGGCCAGAGAGATAGCTCAGTAGACTAAGCACTTGCCTGGGAGGTACAAAGGCCTGAGTTCAATCCCCAGTTCTGCCAAAATAAATAAATTAATTAATTAAAAAAAAAGAAAAAGAAAAACTGAAATATCTGTATTTATCCCCAAATATATTCTGTCCTACTTGTTTTAATGATCTTAAAACTTAGAAATACTTCAGTGTGTGCATGTGTGTGTGTGTGTGTGTGTGTGTGTGTGCGTGTATTTTGCTTTCTTCATTGTCTTCATGTCATCTTTTTTGAGGAGATAACTTTCACCTACCACCTTCCTGACATGGAATTGATATGAGCCTTCCATTTCATAGAGATCATTTAAACATTCTAAGGGAAATCTGGTGAATTGGGCTACAATTAGTCCTGATTTTCTTCTTGATTGTAATCTATGTTTCTGGAAGTGTACTGCCATCTTTGTTGGACTCCTAAAGCAAGCATACAAAGGAACTCATTTCATTAATTATATAGATTAAGAGGAGTTTCATTTATTCTATCAAAGGTCAACATCAGTCATTAATTTATCAAGGGAATGAAATATACTCCTCAAGGAAATCTCCAAACATTATTTTTAATATTGTGAGCAGGAATTGATGAAGTGTCTTGCATCCATGATAGCAATATCCTTTATGAATTATATATTTTTTGGAGTGAAAATAAAAATGGGAAATAGTAACACATATTGCCAAAATAGTCTAGGAGAGAATGCAGGTGCATTAATACTGCTGTAAAGGTTCAGGAAATGTTGTCAGTCAATGGTAAGCCTCTAGAGATGCTTCAAAGGGCTCGGTGGGCCAATCAATTCTAAATGAATGTGATTGTGTAAAGTGGTCATTGATGGGGGCTTGTTAAGACAATGCAAATGTATGGGATATTTGTCCTTTTACATTCTATTTTGGACAGAGCAAAGAGTACTTCATAGACAACACTGGGGGTGATTAACACCTGCACTCTTCATCCAATGAATAAGTTCAGCAAATGAGGATTGAAGGCCTAGTGAGCTCTATACAAAGGGAGGGCTCTGGAATAAGATAGAAACACAGCAAGTCCAACAACAATAGGTCAGTTCAGTGAAATGTACTACAAGAGGTACACAAGGTATCTCTTTATGGAAAGTGACACAATGAGCAGTGTGGGATAGAAAATAATTGAGAATAGTTGCGTCAGATATGGTAGTCAGAGAAGACTTCCCAAGAAGAAAACATTGATGGTAAAATCTGACTGATAAAAAGCAGCTTGACTTGCAAGAACTTGAAAACTTTCTGGCGAAGCAAATAGCAGAAATGGTTCTAAACTGGGAACAAATTTAAAGTACTTGAAGAAGAGAAAATACGCAGTGTGAACACATCAAGGGGAATGGAGGAGAGTGGCATGAAAAGGCAGTAGATGTCCACTGGATCAAGAAAATGACATACCTTCTGACTACTAGAAGAAGAACAGGCTACAACAGAGGAAGAGAGAAATCTGAAGTCCATTTAGGAAATAATTGT